GTGTAGTCAAAATGGTTGGGATAGATATATAGTTGCATTCTCTTAATGAATAGATGGATTTGTTCTATTGGTGTTTGTAAATAGGATATCATGTCCACATCTTGTACAACAATTAACCACTAGAAAGAATGTATGCAATGTTTTAATTATTGAAACTGTCCTACCAATTTGGTTTGAAACTGTCTCATTGCTATTTGTTTCTCAATAAAATTATGGGAAAAATCAAACGAACAAACAAACAAAAAACAAATTAGCAGATGCCCTCAGGAGGCCAGGGCAGCCCTTCTCTTGGGGACTCACCTCCCCTTCTGTAGACTGTAAATGTAGTTCCTTCCGGCAGGTAGCCTTGAAGTCCCCTGCAGCAGCGCTCACCTGAACCCCACGAGGAGCTTCCATAATCAAGGCTCTAGTTGGCGATTCAAGCCTAAGAGGAAGTGAATACAGTCATTAACAGAAAACAGAAAAAAAAATGATGAACCAGAAACAATATTAATGAACTGAAAACAGTGAAACAAGCAACCATACTACAAGCAGGTATAAATAAAAATCTTTTCCATTTGAAGTATAATTTCAATCTAGGATGAGTTTTAGAATATTTTATTGCCCTATTTATTTTTGGCTTATTACAAAACTCCTAATTTGTTCATATCAATTATTTACTCTCCTCTGTATAATGATTTAGTAAGAATTTCTTATGTTGTTTAGCTTTATAATGTTCATAAAAAGTAGGTCAAGATAAGTTTATGTGTTTAAATCTTTTATATATTATCAATATTAATAATGGAGTTTTAATAAATACATTGGTATAATTTAGGATGTACATATGCCTTAATAAAGAATCCTAGCCTTGCAAAGATAAAAACTTTAATGAAATTCATTTGTATTGCAAACTTTCAAAAGTGTGCATTCAAATTTAGTAAACTAGAAAATTTTGGAAGTACTTATTATACTTCTAGAAATTCATTAAAGTGAATGCATAGCTAATTTTGTGTATCAATTGACTCCTCTTGGTCCAGTGCAATATCCATAGGATGGCATTAGTCTGAGAAAGAAAAATCAAATGAGGGACAGGACACAAAGTCTAGATGGCAGAGAAAAATATTAGTGGGAGAAAAGCTAGTTTACACCAAGTTGGGATTTTTTTGGGATTAGTGTTCTGTTTTGGAGATTCCATTTCTTTGTTCACCTCAGCTGTTAGGCTCCTCAAGCTCTCATT